ATAAATCTTTTTTTTTAAAAAAGTTTTTGTCCTGAAATCCTCCCCAAAATTCCCATGAAATCCCAGAGAGGACAGTCCTTCTCCACTGTACACTCTACAAATAAACACAGAAGTCTGGAATGGTCTGCTGACTCTGAGTGGCACACCATATGTTTATTAGATCAAAGAGACTCATGAATGGGCTGCTTTCCAAAAATATTTGGCTCAATCACTAGCTTATTTTTGAGCATGAGGTTAACACTAGTAATCCACACAGGCACTTCCACAGCCTGACAGAAGTTCAGACCTATGGTGCTATTCATCCCAGCCTCTCTGCTACACATCACTGCCCATGGCTGCTTTGCAGCCATGAAGCCATTCACTTTTTCAAGGTTGCGAGGAGGAATTAAGACAAACCCATTCTATGTGTTTACACATATGCATGTACCACTGGTTGCTGTGTGTTAAGTTTTGGCTTGGGCATGCATGTGTTACATTTTGAGTGTCCGACTATCTTTGAATCATTTTGTGTTGACTGCATTCCAAGTCGGAGAAAATCTGGTTGTAATTTAATGATTATGAAATCTTAAAGAGTTACTTTTAAATAATTTAGTAACTTTTGACATATGCATAAACAAACTTTAAGCATCCTGTGAGAGCTTATTTCAAAGTGTTTTGATGTGAACATGCAAACCATTTCAATGTCTTTAGGGGCTGATGTCATGGGTACCCACCCAGAGAACTGGCAGTGGTAAACACGATGCTAGTGTTATAAGATTTCTTTTGGGCAAGGCAAAAAAAGATAAAAGTAGCACTGAAACATATTACCTTCCACCCGCTCCAGTTTGGCCAGGGTCAGTCCTATTGCGTTGGGACGATGAGGGCTCCTTGTGGAAAAAACTCCCGTCTTGGCGCCATTCAGCCTAGGCGGCTGCACTTTTGCCTTACAGCTCAAATGGCCATTTTTGTGAAAAACAAACAAAATCCTGTTGAAAACAAACCAGACCACTGAGACAGCAAAAAGCGCAAGTTATTAGATAAGGGTTTCAGAGGGCAAAAAATTTAAATCCCCACAAAGCATTTTTAATAGGAAAGAATAAGCTTTTTGTGGTATTAAAACGTCATGGTGGGAATCTCCCTCAGTGTCATGATGACCAGGCCCTGTCAGGAAACTAACAGATGTTTGTCAAGCGCTGCATGAACAATACTTGCTAAGTATAATACTTGCTATGTGCCAGGCAAGTGAGGGTAGGCATCTTAACATCTACTTAAGCTTCTTAAGAGCTCTAAGAAGTATGATTTATCCTTCTTTTATGGGAAAGGAAATTGAAACTCAGAAATGTTAAATAACTTGACTAGGCCCTTTTAAATAAGAGACAAAACAAAAAAGTAAGGAGACGCGAAGAAAAACTGTGATAGACCTGAATTCATTAAACCATTAAATTTACATGCTACAAAATGTCATCCCAGGAGGACGTGTTTGTCAAGCTCCTGGGTAAAGGCAAAGGCTAAACAGCTGTGGCACAGCTGTGACCCCTACACATCACAAGGCAAAGGACAGCTCAACGGAAAACTAAGCAAAGGGCAATTCACGAAAGAATTCAAAATAGCTAATAATCACATGACAAGCTGGTGAACTTCACTGATAATTAAGAAATTAAATTGAAAAATAATGTTTTTCCCTGTCAGGTAAAAAATATAACAGTGTTCAGCAACAGTACAGGTGCAGGCCAAAAGCCATTTTCATATACCTTTGAAGTACAAACTGGCTAAGCGTTTTAGAGGTAAATTTGGCAAGACTCCAAAATTATAAATACATACCCTCTTATCAATTACATCCACTTCTGACAGCCTCAGACAAACACACAAGGGCCCAGGAACACGAGTGGTTTGTTTCTTTACGCTAGTGTAAATGAGTAACTCTCCACTAACAAGGCGTTAGTCAGATCATGGTGCATCTGTATTTGCAGTAACAGCCAGTAAAGCAAAAATGGTGACTTTTTTTTACTTAATGGTTTATGTCATGACTACATAAAGACGTAAAAAGTTAGGTCTAGAGGAGGGTGCAACCTTTTTCTGGAAAAGGTAAAACTGTAAATATTTTAGGGTTCTCAGGCTAGCCAGTATGCTGTTAATTATTCACCTCTACTCTGGCAGCATCAGGAAGACACAGACAATGCCTAAATAAAGGGTCACAGCTACTTATAAAAACAGGTGGTGGAGGAAGCTGGCCCATGGCCATAGCTAGCTGATCCCTGGCCTAAAGGGGATAATAATGAGGGCCCACCTTGGTGATGCAACAGGTTAAGTACAGCACCATGAAGCTATCTGCAGCCAATGAGGCACAAGTTTGATCCCTGGCCGGGGGGTGATCTACATGGCATGCAGACCTCTCCTGACTGGTCCACTTCTCTCAGCAGTATATTTCAGTGGATCTGCCTGTTCTGCTCCCCACTCTGTTTCTGGTGAATCCTTTCTATCCCCACACATTTAACCTGTACCTCAGTTCTTAAATGAATAAAGCAATCTTTAAGAAAAATAAAAAGGGGGATAATAATGACCGTTAGGCAAAATGAGGACATCTAGCTACAGATTTCAACTCAACAGAAGGTGTACATCACACTTAAAACCAACTGCAAATGGAGCCTGTCCCTCACTGGATCCAAAGTTCCCTGACCATGTCCAATCACCAGCAGGAACACAGTACAGGAATCACACACAACAGACAAAGAGTGGCAGACCCTAAGATCACCTTTAACTGGAGTCCTTTACTCAGGGGCAAGCTCTGGCCCAAAATACCACTACTAACTATAAAACAACTTACCAAACATGAGAGAAGTGTTCTAAGCCCATCAAGGAATGTTCAGGATTATTAAAGATGCTCTTTCTAATTTTCAAACAAGCCCTTGAATGACTACAAATGGATGGCTGCCTTGGAGTACCATTCTTGGTGGAGAAACAGGATTCCAAGTATCCAATTGGCTCAGTTAAAAGATTCCCTACAGAAGAAAACCAGATAAGAAATTATTAGTCAAAAGGTCAAGCAAAGCTGTAGGATAACACAACTTCTTTAACACATTGATTTCATAATTTTAAAAACTATCATTTTTATGTAACACATGATTTTTACAATGTTCATGAACAGACAAATATTCTCATCATTACTATGTGTATTGTTATGTTCCTTCAGATGATAGGCTGGAATGAGTGCAGAAAAAGGGAATTTTTAGAAAACCTACTATCACCTAATGCAAAGTCTGCTACTATGACCATGTTATGTGACCTGGGTTAGGGCTAAAGGGCTATTTCAAATAGAATAATGTTTGCAAAGCTAAATGAGAAACATCACAGTATATGGAGAAACAAGCGATCTGACTGGTTGAAGTGTGAAAAACAAGGCAGATATAACAAAAATGAGATAATGGTTATATGTAAGATGCTTTCAATTGAAAGCAACAGAACACATAAAACACCTTTATGCACTAAAGAGAGTACTTAGGATTATGCGATTAAAATATCTATATGCAGGGTCAATTTCAGGTAGACTGGTCCAGTAGCTCTCTGCCTCTAGAATGTAAGCTCCATGTAGGAAGGACTACTGCTGTATTTTTACTTCTGTACTTTCATTGTCTAATAAAGTGCCTACAGGAGTAGGTACTCAAAAATCTCATATTATTAAAAGGATAATGGAAATCTAAACTAATTAAATTGGAAAGTGAAAGGCTACATATAGTATCATGTATGAACCCTTATTTATATATTTACGTATCTAAATATATATCTCTGTACATCTAGAAAGCTACCTGGCAAGATATTCACCCAAATGTTAATTATAGGAAAAATAGGCAGAGAAATTATTAGATTGTTTTTATATTTAACTTTGTAATTTCTATACTACTTGAAATTTTTGCAATATTCATAAAACTTTTTTTTAAGATTTATTTATTTGTGCATACAGAACTGGGGTATAGGCCAGAGGTGCAGGAGTGGTAAGAGGGTTCACCAGAGACAGAGTGGGGAGTAGAACAGGCAGATTGAAGAAGTACACTGCTGAAGGGAGCAGTGGGCAGGTCAGGAGAGGTCTGCCACACCATGTGGGTCACCTCCAGAGTGGGGATTGAACTTATGAGGAAGTGGCTTTACCTTCTTAGTGCTGTGCTTTAACCCGCTGCGCCACCAGTGAGGGCCTAACTTATTTTTTAAAAGCTGTAAGGGGCGCCTCCCTGGTGACCTAGGGGTTAAGTTACAGTGCCATCACCACTATGGCCTGAGTTCAATCCCCGCCTCAGAGGTGACCCACATGTCAGAGCAGACCTCTCCTGTCTGGCGCTCTGCTCTCCTCAGCTGTGTACCTCAGTATATCTGCCTGCTCTGCTCGGCATTCTGTCTCTAGTGAACCCTCTCACACACACACACACCCCACCTCTGGCCTACCCTCCTGTTCCTCTATGCAATAAATGAGTAAGTAATTTTTCTAAGATATAAAGTAGTGTTTTTATACCCACAATTTGTCTACAACTTATGTGCAGACAGAAAACTCAGATCCTTTTCACCTCTTGCCTAGACTACCAAATTATTCCTATTATAAATCCTTCTTCCCTCAGCAGGCCCCCCATTTTCTCAAAACAATACCAAATCCACCACAGTATGAGTTCCCTATGTTACTCTCTAACTTTAAATGTCCATGTTTCCCTCTACTAACTGTCACATTTCTCCCTTGGTGTTCAAGGTTCTCTACAATCTCAATCCAATCAATGTTTTCACCTCTCTGTTCCATCCAGTACTTTAGACTTACATTTCCCCAGCCCCATGTTCTGTAGAGCTGAGTTCTTTCTTGCCTATCATTATTAGTTTCTGTAATCTGGTTGTGTGCAACACTTTTTTTTAAATGAGCACAATCTTTTACCAAGTAACAGTATTTTAAGGAAATTAAATCTAAGTGAAACATTTAAAACATATACGAAGATTTTAGTTAGAAAACTGGCATAACCTAAATTCCCACCAAAAATAAATTAACTAAATTAGTATGGACCTATTAAGCAAAAGCATATGCAACTCCTTAAAATCAACTGCTATCAAGAGGTTTTATAAAAATTAAGGTTACCTTTTAAAAGTTATAAAACAGGGCCCTCCATAGTGGCGAAGCGGGTTAAAGCACAGCACAAAGAAGCTTAAGCCACTTCCCTTAAGCCACTTCCGCATGAGTTCGATCCCCTCCTGCCCTGGAGGAGATGATCCCCTCCTGCCCTGGAGGAGATTCACAGGGTGAGGCAGACCTCTCCTGACCCACCCGCTGCTCCCCTCAGCAGTGTACTTCGTAGATCCGCCTGTTCTGCTCCCCACTCTGACTCTGGTGAATCCTCTCACCCTCCGCATCTCTGGCCTGTACCCCAGTTCTGTACGAATAAATAAATAAATCTTTAAAAAGTTATAAAGGGTCACCTATCAACTCATATTTCTGCCAGGCATGTCCAAAACAAATACGGAAGGTAGACACCAAGACATTAAGCAGTAGTTTATTTTGGGTGATGGTGGACAAAATTTGCTTCCTCTAAATTCTAAACTTAATATATTCTGGATAGGAAATTTAGGTAAAAGAGATCAACTGATGAAGACTGAATTGGATTTGTAGTGAATGTGGTATATACAGATGTTGCTATACAATAATACACATCTAAAACCTCTAATTCAATGTAACTTCAATATGAAAAATAAAAGATAAATAATAAAATATAACCTCCTTTAAATAAAGGTGTGTCATTAAAAACAAATTCTTGCAATGTGCCTTTTCTGGGGCCCGGTTTAAAACTATCTCCTTCAGAAACTTCACTCCTCTCTCGTCACTTCCAAAAAGCCTCTCCTGGCATTTTTTCATTCCTAACAGGCTTAAAACTAGCTGTACACATTCTACCTCTCCCACAGGAGCAAAAATTGCCTAAAAGAAAAGCCATTACAACTGCACTTGGCAGTTCTAGCCGCCGTGCCAAGACCTGACAACTGCAGCCACTATCACCAACAGAACACGAGAAACGACGTCACCCAATTCAGACATGTCACGTGGTTGCCCACGCACGTGACCGTGCCTTCTCCATAAGCAACATTATGGCGCACATTAGTTCCAGGTTTAACATTTCACGTTCCTCTCTGCAATAAAGTTGGCTGCCGGCACCCGGCCACTTCTCAGAGCAGAACCACCAGCCTTTTTAGAAGTTACCTGTCTCTAGAGCCGGCTTCACACAGCCACACCCGGTCGTTGTGGGCCGAGGTCCTGGCTCCTCCAACCCGCGCATGGCGACGAGTCAGAAGCGCCCACGCAATTTGTCAAGGTTTCCCCTTCCGGTCGCCATACCTGGCGCCTGCGCAGAAGTGGCGCCAGCGGGAAGACGCTATCGCCGCGCCTGGCGCAGGCGCAGAGGGTGCGGCACGCGGCGACAGCTCCCGAGCCGCTTGGAGGTTTGGTCTAATATCCGGACGCTGCAACCTTGCCATGGTTCCTGACTTTCGCCCTGAACCTCAAGCGGCTGCTCACCAGTCAGCGCCTCCAAGTACCTGCGCTTTCGAAGGGAACACGTTGATGAAGATGATACACAAAGACGTTCCTCTCTTACATAGTAATATAAAAATATTAAATATCAAGAATAAGCTACGTACATGTCCAACGCATGATACTAAGTTTTTAAAGATAAAGTGTGTGATATGCAATCACCATATAACAAAATGATCAGCCTTTAGGAAATGTTAAAAATTCTCCTTGGGTGAATGATTATAGGTCTCTGTGTGCTCCGGTTTTTCCGTAATAAAAACGGTGTTTTGTCAGATTAAGACCCCAAGCCTAGTGGAGAGGGAGTCCTACACCAATACAGGGCTAAGCAATGCGGTTTTCTTGCGCTTCCATGCCTCACAGTAATTGAAGTGAAAGAAATGGAGAGTCAACAGACCATACTGAGGGGCGAGGCAACAGGTGGTGATGTCCATTATTTCTGGGCAACTCTGAAAATTCAAGGACCAATGAACACCACTCACCCCTTGCGATGATCAGTCTTCCCAGCACGGGACTGCTCCTCACAGTGAGGTCTCTTGCCTATATTAGATTTCTCTGTATGCATAATTTTGTTGCTGAGCTTTTTCATCCTGTTGATTAGGATGGGGGCTGGGGGTGGAATGGGCGAGAGACTGCCTGCAATATAAAATATTCAATAGCATAAAAGTCTACTTAGATTAAAAGGCTTGACCATCATGAAAAGCTTTTTAAACTTAATTTGCCAGGCACTAACATCACCAGAGGAAAATAACAGGAGGAACCAAAGACTTAAAAATAAAGCTGCTTTTTTTTTTCAAAAACACTTTAACATTTATCAAATTCATATGTGTGTTCGAATTTTCCACATTAAAATTAGGAAGAGGAGGTCATTACTGTTGCGGGTAGGAACAGTATTGTATCGCTTAAGTAACATTGAGAAGCTGGGGCAGGTCATAGCTGCGTTTGCCACTAGATGGTGGTGTTGCTGAAAATAAGTCTTTGTGGACTGGTATTGAAAATGAGAGGTATTTATGCTCCTGGCCTTAGCTATTTAATGATAATCACACAAAAATACATTACTACATGTAACAAGTACTGAGATGCAAAGCATACTTGGAGGTGTGATGAATTGCTACCTCTTTTAAAAGTGAAATTTCCTTAGTGGATAGCAGGAATTTTAATATGTAGCTTTTATTGTTATGTGATTTGGATTATTTTTTATTATCTTCTCGAGAATTAAATCTGATTATTTGTAGTTAGAAGACAACCCTCTCTACTACACGTAATCATTAGGCCATACCTTGAGAAACACTTCTCTCTGTAATGATTCCTAATCATTCATTTAGTTGAAAAATCCCGTTGAAAAGCAATTTAAGCTCTGAAACTTCTCACATGTTATTTTATATTTAACATCACAGGGTTCATGGATTTTTGGGTTTTTTTAAAGATTTTATTTATTTATGCATACAGAAATGGGGTACAGGCCAGAGGTGCAGGGGGTGGCGAGAGGATTCACCAGAAACGAAGTGCGGAGCAGAACAGGCAGATCTATAAAGTACACTACTGAGGGGAGCAGCGGGCAAGATAGGAAAGGTCTGCTGCACCATGTGGGTCACCTCGGGGCTGGGGTCAAACTTGCACTGAAGTGGCCACGGCTTGGCTTAGCTTTGCAGTGCAGCGCTTCAACCTGCTGCCACCAGGGAGGGCCTAGGGTTCTTGGATTTTTATGAAGACTAACAATTGTACCTACTACATATTGAAGAGAACAGCACATAGGAAGTCTATGTGAATTCTAGCAAAACGTTCATTCTGTGACCTCAAGTATGAAGTCTGGAAGAAAACCAGTTTAGATGCACACTGATGTTCGAAAAAGCAGAGTTTGTGTGTATGTAGGGAGTGAAATGTGTAGGTAGGCAAAAAGTGTTCGAAAGTTAAAGAAATTCCTCTTTCTCTGATATTCTGCAATCCTCATTCCATCAACTTCCCTCTTTCACCTACATGCCAGGTAAATTGTATCTATGCAAATCTCTTAAGACCCGTTTTAGTGTTAAACCTAGTATTTGGGATTCTGAATACTCTTTTTTTTTATAATCTTGATCCATTCTGGACAAGTGAAATTGAGACATATTTTCAGAGATTGAAAACCATCATGAAAAGAACCAAGGAAGTTACACATGACTTTGAGTCAGAACACAGCCTCTCTAAAATTATTCCCATCTCTGTAAAATGGGAATGATAATCACAGCCCAGTCTATTTCAAAGACTCTTGTGAGTTAAAAAAAAAAAAAGTGTGTGTGAAACCATAACTCACAAAGTGCCATCCAAGTGTAAGGGGCTATCATATGGCTAATGTACCCTCAGAAGATCACTTGAGTGATATTATGGAATGTGAGTGATCATTATACAATGAATATATTCTTAGGGGAAATTTAATATTTTGGGGGGAGGGTGTGACAAGCAGGAGAGAAACAGCATGGAACTTACCATGCTACTGTACCAGTAGTTCTCAATCTGAGCTGCATGTTAGAACCATCTGGAGAACTCTCAAAATAAAATATCCTAAATGCAATGTTGTGTCTTGGATGGGATCCCAAAACAGAAATAGTCATTAATGGGAAGACCAGTGAAATTCCAGCGGTACCTGTAGTTAGTGGTAATGTAGTAATAATCTTGATTTCTTAGTTCTGACAAATTGACCATTTAAGGTGTTAACATTCTGGTAAATTGGATGAAAAGTATATAGGAACTTCTGCATTTTTTCCTACTTTATCAAAGTAACAGTGGTTTATAGCATTATGTAGGTTTCAGATTTACAGCATTAATAATCAACATCCATGTACATAGCATTATGCTCATTATAAAAGTCTAATTTCTATCCTTCACCATACAATTAGCCCCTTTTACCCAACCCCATCCCTTCTAATATCTGCTATTTTGATCTTATTGTCTGAGAGTTTTTGTTTTATTAGTTTTTTCTTCTGCCAATAATTGAAGTCATTAGTGTTGGTCTTTCTCTGACTTGTTTCACTTAACATAAAACTCTTTAGTTTCATCCATGTTGTTACAAATGCAGAACCTGTGTATTATCTTTGTAGTTTTTCTTCTTTTTTTTAAAAGATTTTTTTATTTATGCATACAGAACTGGGGTATAGGCCAGAGGTGCAGGGCAGTGAAAGGATTCACCAGAGACAATGGGGAGCAGAACAGGGTGACTAAGAGGTACACTGCTGAGGGGACCAGTGGTTGGGCCAGGGGAGGTCTGCCACGCCATGTGGGTCACCTCTGGGGTGGGGATCGAACTCATGCTGAAGTGGCTTTAGCTTCTTAGTGCTGTGCTTTAACCCGCTGTGCCACCAGGGAGGGCCCAGTTTTTCTTTTTTGTTTTTTAAAGAGTTACTTATTTTTGCATACAAGAATTAGGTTACAGTCCAGAGTTGGGGAGGGAGGGTGAGAGCATTCACTACAGACAGTGGGGAGCAGAACAGGCAGATAGACTGAAATACACTGCTGAGGAGAGCAGCAAATGAGACAGGGGAGGTCTGCTGTGCCATGTGGGTCAGCTCCTCTGCCAGGTATCAAACTGGGCAGGAGCTAGCTTCATAGTGCTGTGCCTTACCCCCTTGCACCACAAGGAAAGGCCCTGAATCTACTATTCCCATGTCGTTGTATTTAATATGTTCTTGAAGTACTTCTTTTGTTTTATCCCCCATGAGACTAGAGTAAGACCCTGGTGGGCAAATTGTCTTCTAACCCTGCTCCCAGAGCCTTTACCATAACCAATCCACACAGTTAAGCTATAATAATGATTTAATGTACATTTTTCACAAATACATTATTTTAAAAGTGAAAATAGAAAATCAAAATTCAAAATCACAAATTAGCTTCATGACACTAAAATATATTTTAAGGCATCCCAAAGATAACAATTGTTAATATTATCTTTAAAAAAAACCTAAAACTTGAGTAAAATACTGAAGTTATTGCTACATTACTAATTGAACAAAGTTTACAATAAAATTATAAATTCCCCCAATTTTCCATATTCACACTTAATTTTCCTCTTAAAAATTTATCAAGGAAATAGCCAGTCTCCCCCTTATATTTTTATTTCTGCCTACCACTAGCCTCACCCCACAAACATTCACATACACACACATGTATACACACATACCAGCAGGATATTGTCCATATGGTAAAACCTGAAAAAATATTAGTTCTCTTTCTCTGAAAGTAGAAAAAAGTAAATTAAAATATTAGTGAATCCTGTAGGGATTTTTACAATATTTTGAGACCATCACACATAGCACATAGTAGGATGTGTATTTTGTTGGGCATTGGATGATGGTTGAGGACTGTTAAAACAAAACATAACTAAAGACATCATTTTCTGGATGAAGTTCTTCAGGAACATTTGGAATTGCTGGTATGTTTGGTTCTTCTGCTTTGGATTTTTCTTTTATTTCTAAAAGAGAAAATATGAAAAGTAGGTTCAATAAAGAATATTTGGAATATGGTGGGGGGAGCCCACCTAATACCTTGTATTAGGTACAGATTACACATAAAGATACAAATAGTAAAATCCATAAATATTTTAAAGGATACTCTTATAATGATAGAATTATAAGGCCTTTCTAAGCAGGTCACAGACCAGAAACTATTGACTGACAATTTAACTTAGGTTTAAAAACTTGAAAATTGAAATTCTGAGAAATAGGAATATGATTATTTTTCCAGTAAGGCTTTTAACAATGACTAAAATAATTCACACAAAATATTTAACATAGGGTCTAGCATACAAGAAAACTGCCAAATAAATGTTAAATAAATGTCACTTCCAATAATGTTCATTGAACATTGTTATAATGGCAAAACTTAGCAGCATCTAAGTGTTCATCAGTGAACACTTAGGAGATAGGTCGACTATATCAGTGTATGTAAAACTCAATACTGCATACTTGTTACAAAAGAAGTCTATTGAGATGGCCAGGATCTATTGTGTGTGTGTGTGTGTGTGTTGGGGGGAGGAGGGGAAATCAGCTGTAAATGGAATGTAGTGTGGTATCTCATCCTTTAAAACAACCTCAGTGTTAGAGATCAGAGCTAAGAGATGGCATTAGAGGGGGTCATTTACTCTATATCTACTTACATATTTTTTCATTTAGTATAATGAACATTTATAATTTATTATTACGACGGTTTTATAATGAGCAAAAAATAGTTGGTTCTTTTGTTTGGCAAGACACCTGACAAATGAAGCATTAATTCACTGACCATATTAACTTTGCTGGAATTCAAATGAAATCCCCGGGACGGGCTTTGTGTGACAGCCTCTGCTTCTCAGGCACAGCGCCCCATCACTGAAGTACTGCTGCCGATGGCTGGTTTTTATTGTCATTTTTTCAGTTTCCTCAAAATCGGTTTACTTGGAAGCTAACTAACCTCATGATGTTGTGGTACTTATCTTTTCGGAGAAAAAGGTAATAAACAACCAAAGGGATTTCGCTAGAAAACCAATCCCTGGGGATAATTATGGTCTGGTTAAACTCAGCCTGTTTCTTATACTAATTGCCCTAAAAGAATCCAGGTTCTGTTATGTCCTTAAGACAAGTTGAACTAATGAAAGGTCAAAATGTCTTCAAAATGCTGTGCTAGGGAGAAAGATTTTCAGGAGCAAACTTTGAAACAGAAGAGTTTGGGATAAACCCAGAAGTCCCATCTGAAGGAGCCCCTACTGACAGAATCACATTTTATAACTTTGTCGTCTCCCCTGGGACTGTGTCATGAATTTACTTTCCTTTCATTTGCTAAGAATTTTTAATTTGGAGGGAGGGGTGCTGGGGACTACATACATTAAGTTTTCTGGTTAATCTAGACTTAATTGTTCTTTACAATATGTTGCACATAATTCATCCCATATTGTGTTATTTCCCTCCAGTAGCTAAAGCTTGCCAAAATGAACAGTAAGTACTAGTTCCTACTGTACACACATTTTCAATTATTTTCTTTTAACTCTTGGGAAATGTGCCAAGGCAAATATTGGTTGAAAAAATGTGAATGAAGCTAGCCAATGACATTAATGACACTCCTTGAGATACTGGCATAACCTAAGATGGTCAAAGAAGGCTCTACATCAACACGCTGTGATACACCCAATGTTTGTGCTTAATGGTAAATGCAGAGCACCGTTAAGTGCTGGCGTCTCTGACTTTTCCCCATAAACAGCACCTACCACGAGGAAAAGCATAAACATCCTTAACATCTTCGTGGTCTGCCTTAGGGTCCTGACCCTGGGACCCTCTTGTTTCTTGGTGTGGTTCTGGAAAGCATTCTTCAGGCAGGTTGTTGTTTTTATATGTTTTAGTAGAGAGGTCTTCAGGCCCATGTGTTTCTTGGTATATTTCAGGTAGATATTCTTCAGGGGCAGATGTTTCCTGTATTGTTTTATGAGAAGGGGATTTATATGTTTTATGAGAAAAGTATTCAGGTTCAACTGTTTCTTGGGATGTTTTTGTTGAAAGGTCTTTGGGCTCAGCTATTTCTTGTTGTGTGTTAGGGAAGAAGCTTTCAGTCTCAGCTGCTCCTTGACTTGGTTGAGAATTATATTCCTCAAGTTCAACTCCTTTTCGGTGTGTTTCAGGACTATAGCCTTCAGGCACCTCTGTTTTGGGACATGCTTCAAGAGAATATCCTTCCAGGTCAGTTGTGTCTTCAGATGTTTTAGGAGGGAGGGCTTCAGGCACAGCTGTTTCTTGGTACCTTTTAGGAGAGAGGTCTTCAGGGGTAGCCACATTGTGGCTCATTTTGGAAGGATGGTCTTGAAATATGGCTATCTCTTGGCACCTTTTAGGAGAGAGGTCTTCAGGGGTAGCCACATCGTGGCTCATTT